CTTTCGCAAAATTTATGACTTTCCAGGGGGTTGAACAAGTAGTAATTCCATGTGGGACGCGTGGTTAAACGACGATGGTTAGGTCTGCATTAAAGCAAACTACGAGTATTCAAAGTCACGCACGTATCAAGCGTCAGGCAAGTCGTAAATATTAGAAAATGATACCTGAAACGAGCCGCTCTGAAACCTAGTTCGATTTGCTCCATCTAAATTTCATCTTTCGTCGTGTTGGCATTGCGTCTGTTGACTAAAACATATTTCGTAAACGAGACTCTAATACTCTGCTTCCAGTTTTACCAAAATTAGTTCGAAATTTACCAAAATTAATTCGATTCGTCAAATAGAATTTTTAGGACGTATAAAAATGTCTTTTCGGATAAAAATGCGGTATTTAATATGAGCACGAATAAATAAAACTGTGATAATTTTATTCTTTATAATAATTATAGCCGCGTCTAATCTAAAGTGATCTTTGCACGCCTATATGTAGCAATGAAACTGGTATTTATAAATGTCAAATCTCACGGAATTATGCTATCACTGGATAAATTCTTTATCTTCAGATTCTTTAATCTTTCAATTAGAAATCAGATTATGAATGGTCGTCTATGCTGATGGAAAGACTTCTAATATCGGTAGAATCACTTTATATTTATTATATATTTAAGTAGTAAATGTGTGTAATAGTAGTAGTAGTAGGTAGAATTTATTTTTAGCTTCTATAAGAGGAACTCGGTTTACAATTATTTTCCCTATTGCCTTGCACTCTCACTTAATCATCTGTACACACAATCTTATTCTATCTTTACTTTACTATTCCATGTCTATTGTCTGCATGTAGCAGTATATATGGTAAACAATAAAATATATTATTACCACGTTCATTAATAATTCATCCAACGTTACAGTCTGACGATTCCATAAAAAAGTAGTAACTGTTGCTTCCAATTACCAGTTCGTCTTTCATACAATACAATAACATTCGTATACTGTTGCTATAAATCAACTAAAGTGTCCAGATATTTATGAGCGTTAGCGTGCAAATCGACAGATCAAGAGACCGAAACTCGCCGACATAAAATATCCACCGCCACCAGATGTTACGATATATCTTCTACGCGACACCTTTTGAAGATTGATCGGCGACTGGCGCGGCGACCGAGACGTCACGATAGATTAGCTGCTGGCGCAGTGTATTGAAAATATCGTAATTTTTGCGGTGCTGGTCGCCATAAATTACACCGTCGTCAGTCCACGGACGCGGAAACCACGTAAATATACCGATCGATCGATCGAACTTTTCAACCACATCGCCGCCTATGATGTATACTAGATAACTAAGTAGAGTAGGTCAACGATAAGCCCGACCGCCGCTGCCGCAACGCCAGTATCTATCAGCCCGTCCACGGAGCTTCTTCAGTCTTCGATCAAATCGTTTTCTCGCGAGCCTCTCGGCGGCCATTATTTTCCCACAGACTTTAAATAAACCTTGACTTATCGGGGACTTCCGTATTTCATGTCGCGCCGCAAGGGAAAGCCTCTTTTCCCCTCGGTAGGCCTCGTGTTTGTCAGGGTTACTTTTAACGTTTCACTCTAATACCTTTTTCTTTCCAACAGTGATACTGTTTGCTATAGGCCACGAGAGGGATAACGGTTTATCACAGAAATGTCATATAAAAATTATTATGGTTTAATATATCGCCGTGTTGATTCAAATAGGCGTATCCAGTCAAAAGGTGATTTCGAGAGAAATGACTTTTAGTATTTAACGATCAGGTCACTGTTATATTTTCTGTTTCAACGCAGATACAGATTTTTTATTTAACGTATACGTAGACAAATTATTTTTCGGTTATCTGGTAGCGGTGACTGGATTGAAGCGGAAGATCACGTTCTTTTGACTTGACACGGCAATCTAACGACGTATGTTGCATTTCTAATACGTGGTTCGTGATTGAGGAAATTTTTGAAAATACACTGCAGCTCATAAGTATATATATATAAATACTTTGTTATGTTAACCTGAATCGAATGTTTCCTATGGCTTTTCTTTCTTATTGATACGTATTTTATTTTTTATTCATACGTGCCTCACAATGTAAAATACTAAATACGGTAAAATTTGTTGAATTTTTGCAATAACTGTAACGAGCAATAATACCAACGGTCAGCAGTGTGTATCGATGAGGAATATTTTTTGATGTTTGAAATATGTGGTTGGAGTTATGTTATATATATATATATATATATACATATATATATAGAGAGAGAGAGAGCAATACTACATTATATGTAGTATTACTCGATAATTAATATTACATTAAATATATGTAATGTCAATATTGTATATACTCTGGAGATTGGAATATTATGGTAAATCTACTATTGGTATTAAATCAACATGATATTAAGTGCAAATCAACATCATACATCTTGATTAAATCGTTGAATACAGATTGAAAATTGAGAATGTCATATGTTGCAACCTAGTATTTATCTCATATCACTGCGATAATAAACGTGAGATGCTATGATAAATCTCTGAAAGTCCATCGAATTGCTTGCAAATAGCCCTCTTCAAGAAACTTGTCGAGCAATTTGCAAAACAAAGCCATCGCGAGAGAATCCGAAGCTTACACCGATCATAGCTTCCCTCCAAATTTTCCCCAACGAATTTTCCTGGAAGTATCTGCAAGAATTCTCGACGCTATTCATCAACCTCCCCAAAAAGATGTAAAATTCCTTTGATACAGACTAACCGAGCCTCGAAAACGAACTAGGAAATTCATCTCGTGTTTCCTTCTTTGATTACCTTCTCGGTTTCCCTCGGCTAGCGAAAGAATAAGAGCAGAACGGGAACAGAGGGATTATTTTAAATTCAAGTTGGCTGTCATTATGAAATAACTGGGCGGAGAGAAACGCACGATTCCACGGGAATAAATCCTCGGCAGATCTTCGTTTCGGAGCTGAGCACCGGCTCTTACGTTTGAAATATTCCGAAGAAAGGATCCTTCCTCGACGGTGTTCGGCGAGACGTGCTGGAAATCCCTGGAGCAACGGCGAGATCCCCGTCGATGGGACGCCGGCTTTATTTCGCGCGGCATTTTGACAAAATAATTCATCGCGTTGAACGAAAGGCAAATTTCGAGAGACTGTTACGTCGATTTCAGTGAAAGGAAGCGGAAAAGCGGGCCAATACGAATACCGATGCCTGATACTTTCTGACGTCTTTGGCGGTAAATTGAGAAATATGGTGTATCGAAAGGTTCGTTCTATTCTGCGATAAATTGAAAGCAGAGCGGAACGGTTTATTGCGGTCGATTAGGCTAACCCTGTTGCGTCATTTTTCATCAGATGTTATTCTTCAATATGTAAGCGACATTTTGGTCAATAGAATAACAACGATAGAATTTTCGTCGTAAATTTTCCCTCTTAATATTTTCTACATTGTTGCCTTTTGCTTATGATTCCAATAGACAAGTCGATTTCATTTCTTGTTCGCTCTTTTACCTAAGATTCGCATAGTATATTCAAAGTTCAACACCTGATCTTACATTATATTTTGTTCTACATATTATGAGCGTATCCCTACAAGATTTATATTTCATTTTCTATACTTTTTCGCCCAAATGCTACAGATATTATAAATGCGAATGGAATTTTAAAAAAGCTGTTATCCAATTGTCGACTTCTCGTTTTAATTTGGACGAGAAAAACATTTTCTTAAAATATCACGAATCTGTTTTGTTTCCAAAATGAGAGCAGAGTTAATTTGATTAACAAACTGTTTCGAACCAAACACTACTCAAGAAGTTTAATTAAAAAGCCATTCTTGTAACAGGTATTTCGTTGAATTATTATGTCGATTACAGAGAGGATTAATCGACTGAATAGAAAATCAATTTGATAATAGACTGTATGTATATGTGTACATTGTAACATCTACAAAGAAACTTAAACGGACGATATCATCCGAGCTCGACTCGATTCTAGCGAAATGAAAGTTTCATGCGATCCGTCGCGATTACGAAAGAATCATCGAATCAATCCCACGGTGGAACAGCAGACAGCACTTAACTCTTGTCGCCACGTATGAATTTTTCACGAGTTTGTAACCTTACGATCGGAGTTTTCACAGTTGCTTCAAAGAGAGTATCCACCCGCTGCGCTGTAAGCTGCCTAACTTTTCAACAAACGTTCTGCTCATAAATATACTTGTGCGAATTTTTTCATTCGCTACTTTTATAGTATACCTTTGCATTTCGATTTTAGGATAATTTCGGGTACAATCGATCTACGCTCATTCGAACATTTAAAAATATTATAATATCCTGGTTATGTTGATAAATTTTGAAACGGATCTGCAAGTATCTGTACAAGTTGAAAGATAGCATTGGTTTCAAATTTTACTATTACAATCACCATACGTGTTTCATTATAATGTTAACAAAATTTCGAAAGGTTTCGTACAACGCACGTAATATTGGGTTGGCAACTAAGTGATTGCAGATTTTGTCATTATCATCTAATCCGCAATCACTTAGTTGCCAACCCAATATATCCACAAAAAGATTTCTGTAATAAAAATTCAAGTACTTTTATGAGCGTTTACGTATGTTACACTTATGTTTCATCGTAATAAATAAGCAGCGTATAATTAGCATCGGTTAAGAAGATAAATACCTTTTGACATTTTGAAAAATATTTCTATTTTTAGCGGATAGATTTTTCCCACTTTAGGCTTCCCACTTACAAAACGAGATTCCCAAGAATTCCCAGGATCAACGTCGCAACAATATTTTCTTCCTCTTCCCGCAGAAATTCATAAGCCGCAAACAATAAAAGGACTTTAGAAAGAGGCATAATTTAGAACGTACTATTCGAAAGCCAAAAGTTTCACCGAGGAAAATTATCAGGATGAAGTTTCCTCTGGTTGTCACGGGTCCACGAAGGAGGAAATATTGCCCGACGGAGAAAGTGTAAGATGTATGAAAACGTACCCAGATCCATGAGATGTTCCTCGCCGAATCGTCGCACAGCGTGAACATGAAGAAGCCCGAAAGCGAGCTGCATTCCAGTGGTGAGCAACAGGGCGAGGAACCCGGCTGCGCAAACCAGCCACCCCCAGCCACCCTCTGGATAGAAATGCGTTCGCATGGCGGCGACGTCTATGCCCGAAGAGAAAGATTAGCCTTAATTACGATTGCTTTTTACATGGATCGTGTGAGCGAATTTTTTCGTTCGTTTGGCCATGAGCACAGTAATTAATTAACGAATTAATTCTATTATTCTTTTCGATTTTTTCTCGGTTTTCTATATTTTTAAATATTTTTTTCTTTTTAATACCTTATCCGTAAAAAGCATGATATACATAAAGGATAATAAAATTATACTATAGCGTGCACGGAAAAGGATACGTGCGCGTATTATCTTTTGTGTCGGCTTTTATCCGGATCGAACCGACTGTATCCCTGTTGTGCCAAATTCAAACTGCGTACATAGGTACATGCATGTGTGTGTTGGATGAGAATTGTGAATAAAGGGTACAAAAGTTCGATTCGTCTGTAGCGCAAGAGCGAGACACTATCGTAACTCTGTTACATCCAATCTCGTAATATTTTATATTAAAATCTGATATCTAGAAAGTACGTGTATTTCGATAATATATGAGTTAGAATGTCCATTTGAATTAAAAAGTCTCGTAAGTTGAAAATTGATTTTAAAAATTAATTGGGAGAAATTTCATTATGAAATTTTACTATTGAACGAATAAAAAGATTTTTGATCTTCCGAGATTAACAAGTTGCAGATAATTTTTTTTCCTTAGAGAAAGTCTTTGCACCGATAATTATTAATTATAATCATTGCATGGTCGATGCTTGTGCATTTATAGGAAATTTGAAATTGTAAAAATGTATAGAATGCATGTAATACGCAGGAAGAATACCTCAAGTATCCAAAGAGAAACGCTCGCCACTACTACGTTCTACTGTTTAAATACATTGATATAAATATGAAATTGTTTTCATATTGATTTTCACGGATAAGCAATAGTGAAATCAAAAAAAAAGTTGCACAAATATCCGCGATCTAACGATAATATTTTAGCCCGATTTAGTATTGAAATAGCATTGAATTTGTATTTAGTATCGAAATATTTTCTAGCATGAAAGATATGAATTTAATTACCTGGACGACGAAAGGCTGGCACACAACGATGAAGACTTCTCAAATCACCGAGCACCCAATTACTATTTCCGATCATGCCATCATGCAGGCTTCCCTCTGCGTCCATGTAACGCATTCGAGTATCTAAAATCAGAAGAGAAACAACAATTAAAGAACAGAAATACTTTACATGTATATATGACAGATTGAGAAACGAATCAGCGTAAATTTAACTTGCCTTGGGGATGAACGAGACAATTTAAAAACTAATTTATTGTTAAACTGTTTCCAATCAAAATTTTTACCAGCAATAAATCAACAAACACGAGCGTCAACCTCAAAGGGAAATCAAAATGCATAGGTCGATATATTCAAATTTTTCAATTGACATTTGACACAAGACACAATTTTTTAATTCGATCTGATTTCTTTTAAAGAACAATGGTGATTTTCTTTTGTGTCTCTTGCAGTTAAGTTCATCTGTACGTCATAATAAAAATCGTAATAAAAATCGTTCTTCGCATCTTCACTGGCGTCGCAAATTTTGTTCAAAACCAATCTGTAAAAGCCATATTTATCTCGATTTCAGTGCTAATCGTCTTACACTGATTGGCTTCTAAGCTCTGTGTGTATACGAAATGGCGTGACTTTCGCAATCGACGCTACGTTCGCTTGAATGTAAATTAAGAAGGCTATGCGCGGATTAACCCCTGGCGGATTAGGCACCACTGTTTTTGCGTAATTCGACGATATATTTGCAGGACTTAATTACACCGAGAACTGGCTCGCAGATGCGTCCAATGAATTTACGTGGCACGACCCGTTTTGTGCGCTGGCTAAGCCGGGCGATAAAGATAAACGCTGTTTATTGTGAGTTCGGTATCGTTGAAGACGAACTCTCCACGAAAAAGAGGCAAATTGAAATTAAGTTTGATTAAAATTACGTTTCGTGAACTTAATATAGCGAATTGCGGTATTTTATTGTGCGTAACGTGTCTAGGAAATAGGGAAGGCTTTGTTAATATTCTAAATTAGAATTTAAGAGGATTTAATTCAATTAGAATTTCGTTTCACAGCTTTTGAATAGATTTAGAACTATTGCAGCGAAATTAATGTTACTTGCTTTGTGCATTTTATTTCTATTTTTTTGAATAATTATGTGGATCCCTGTTACTCGACTTTCTATTTCATTTTTGTATCTGAAATTGTACTATGAATTGCGATTATCTCTTAGGAATTATAGAAGAGTTTTTTTTTAGTATTTCAAATTGGAATTTAAGAGATTGTTATATTTTAGGTGATAGTGACGCGTGATATTTTAATGCGTGAAAGTTACAACGTGTTAAAATAACTGTGAAATAATTAATAATATCTAATTATTAGCTAATTTAATAATTAGCGATATTTAATTTTATGCTCTATTTTTGCTTTTGAAATAATTATCAATAGTATTGATTTATGTTAGGCTCCGTGATCTCAAAATTAGCATTATCCAATTGTACGACCCCATGACTGTCATTACCGAGTTCCCTGATCCTAGAATTATCGCTATCTAGTCCAACATTCGCGAAATTATCACTGGAAAATCCTATAAGCTTGAATTGTTGCTACTGGAACTGTCTGGCTACGTCTTCCGAATCTACTGTCATTTCGATATTAAATGTCACGAATTTCTACTAGTTTGAAATTCCCACTGTCAAACAATGTTATCGTTATAGTTGTTTTCCATCGTTTTCTACAATTTTGCAAAGTCTTTCTAAATTTCACAGCATGAAAATACAAATTTTGCTTTCCTTGTTATACTATTTGCTTAGCTTCCAAAAATCTCTACCATTTCTATATCTTATTCCTCATTTATATTGTTTCCATTATGATATTTCTATTACAATCACGGATTTTGTAACCAACGTTTATTGATACCAGTCACGATATCTCGATATTCAAGAATATTCAAAATACTAATTTCTGTTTCTCTTAAGTAGCCTGTTAAGGCTACGACACAGAACTTATACCGTAGATTCTGCCAAGTTCATAAGCACAGTCTTGTTAAAATGATTACATTGAAAAAGGAGCTTTAATCGAAGAAATTAAATGTTGTACATAGTATAAAATTTTCGTATTTCCTATACCTATGAAGCTTCACTGTAAATCCTGCAAACTACACATGCTGAATCGTAACAATGTAAAACAAATAATAAATAAATTCTGTGATACGCATACAAAGCCCAATAACATGAAATTTAATTCCTATTTATTCTGACAATTCTCCAATTTTTCTGTTATCACTGTACGTAATAAACTTCATTAATTCTCGACTTTTTATTGTTATACAACCTCCATACACGAATATTCATCATCCGTTCTATATTTTCTGTTTTCCATCAGAATTTCCATTACAGCGCGCGAAATATTTAATTCGAGGTTAATGGAAAATTTTTCAACGTGTTACAAAATTGATTCCGGGCAAAGAGAGAGAGAGAGAGAGAGAAAGAGAGAGAGAGACAAGTATTCAGTATATCAACGATGTTTCTGTCTTGCAACATCGCAACCCTGTGCCACGGACCGGGGATGAAACGAGTTGAAAGAAATGAAGAGGAAAAAGGAGAGTCAAGTGGGTTAGATAAAAGTGCTCATGAAAAGGAGATGCTAGTTGCTATGGGGTGAGAACGAGGGCCAGCAGTCTTGTGGTCGAGGGTTCACGAAAGCGGGTCGATGATTTTCAACCGAAGAAATGTACAGAAAAAATCTTGGAAAAATAGTGTTCCTCCGTAATTTCGCATCTATCGATGACTTACGGCACACATATTGTTCGTCCACGTTTTGCATTCTCGAGAAAAACAGCTCTGAAAGTTCGATGGTAGTTTATAATTAAATAAAAACATTTTACATTGCATTTATCGATGCTATTATAAAATTGGCTAGAAATTGTGCATTGGTCCTTTTTTAGAAACACAAAATGACGATGGTGGATCATGGTTCTTGAATATATCTTTGTAAATACGAAATACAAAAATATTACTTTTGACAAATTTACGAAGTAGACATAAATATGACTTTTATGGTGCAAAAAGTAACTGTTAACCGGAGAACTATCATCCATGCGGAGAAACTCGAATTTCAAAAAACGTGGACAGGCGATATGTGTGCGATAAACACGTTTCTTGCTAATGAAACGTGCGATTAAAACTGGAAAATAATTCATATAGAAAATTTAATTAGCGAATCAACTGACGTAGTGTGAGACGTGAAAGCGTCGCAAGTCAAAACGTTTTTATTAATTGTTTTATATAATATTCTTCTATAATACTCTTCGATGAACATTTTCGGAAGCAAGAGAAATTTTCAGAAGCCACAGGAAACAGAACCGCGCAATTTGAATTTCCATCTGTCTTTCGGCCACGGGAACCAATTTCTTAACGTAGATTCGCAAACGAGCTCGCGTGAGCACAGCTTGCAAGGAAAAAGGATGGAAAAAATTGTAGAAACATAAATAGTAGAAAGAAAAAGTTAAGTAGCGCGAACCAAAGCAAAAGCAAGTAAAAAAAAAAAAAAAGAGGACAGGAATGGGCGTGACACGTATTCTTAATTGTGGCATGACCGTTCGTGCCGGCATCGCTGAACGTTCCTTTCCGCTTCTTTTCCTTTCTCTTCTTTTCGCCTCTTAATTACAACGTACAACGGCAAAGTTTCCGCAAACAGCAAAAGTTCCTCGTAAAATTCGTCTTTACAGGGCTAATGAAGTTTTAAGCAATTTAAAGTAGAATTTCAGCGACGCTCGCTGTTTGCATTTTTATTACGCTCTTCTGGTCACTGTTGGAAAATGACCTTTCCTCCTGGACCCATCGAAAGCTTTCCCACCGCGTAAAAATAAAGAGCAGCGATGATACGTCGTTGCAGATATTTCAATTCTCTCTGTTACTCGAAAGAACGCAATTAGATCTAATGTGGTCAAGTTAAATATATTTCTTTCTCGAAATAAGAAAAACATGGATGCACCTTTCAATTTCTGTAGTCACGTGAAATTATACTACTAAATGGTAGGAAATTTAATACAGTTTAAGAGATTCAAGTGCTATAACAGATATAACGCGTGCAAAATACTTTTTGCAGCTATTGTATAAGTAGAACTTAATTATTATTAATTATTGTATAATGTTGGATTGTAATCGTACGGTGTTTGTCCCGTGTTCGTAGATCTTCAACGGTGGCAGACTAAAATGACGAAAATGTTTTTAATAATTTTCATTTCGAAGTGATTTTGTTTGGGAATAAAATCCTATTGGTTGCTGGACGACGGGCAGAAAATTTTTAACAGACAACTTGAACGATTGTCAAGTTAGAGTCTCCTGGAAATACAAGAAATTGGAACAATCCAAACAAATAATGACTGAACTAAGGCTGATTCAAAAGTAAAACTAATAAATGGTATTATAACTTGGTGTGGAAATGAAACGGAATTAATTTCCACGTCAAATGTCTTTCCAATTTATCATCCTGTTCTTCTCTCGATTCCATTTGAAAAGGACAAAGCCAGGATATCCAAAACTAGTTTACCTTTATAATTAATTACCGGATCGCACGAGCTAGGCACATTACGGTTAATTTTCTCCACGGTCGACTGCCAGAACAAAACTCGTCTCTCGCAGAGAACGTTTCAACGTTCGTTCACGTGTAATTTAAAATCCTCTCTGTCTCGGCGATCAAAGAGACAATTTTATATTTCCCTTCGATATTCTTTTCTCCGTCGACGAGAACGAAGATTCGCTATTTTCCTTTTAAATTTCCATCGATTCTACCATGAATAATCTCTCTTTTCTCTACTCCACGACAAGCGGTTGAGATACGAAACGGAACACTCATTAACGCACCGAGTTCTGACGAGCAAGGAAAAGCTGCAAAAGGAACTTCTCTTTCCATTGGCTGATAGTGCACAATAGCCGGAGATCGGACGCAAAGGCGAGAAATCAAAGGGACGAAATATTCTTAATTACAATGAGAACGAACGTGAGCCAACGAAGGAGATAAACGCGTGGGTCGGCCGAAAAATGAGGCTGCTTGTGAAAAATGGATCGGAACCAGGTTGAAAAACAAAAACTGCGGACGACGAAATTGCCATGAAAAGGAATTACGACGCTTCCTCCGCT